TCCTACTCCCGGTAGGAGTAGGACTCCTCCTGCGCGCCTCCTCCTAGGGCCGGCCGCACCCCCCCTTGGCTCCTTTATATACGGGGGCAGGGGGCACCCCTAGACACACAAGTTGATCTCTAAGATCGTTCTCTTAGCCGTGTGCGGTGCCCCCTTCCACCATAGTCCTCGATAATATTGTAGTGGTGCTTAGGCGAAGCCCTGCAACAATAGAACATCAAGATCGTCACCACGCCGTCGTGCTGACGGAACTCTTCTCCGACACTTTGCTGGATCGGAGTCCCGGGATTGTCATCGAGCTGAACGTGTGCTAGAACTCGGAGGTGCCGTAGTTTTGGTGCTTGATCAGTCGGGCCGTGAAGACGTACGACTACATCAACCGCGTTGTCATAACGCTTCCGCTGTCGGTCTACGAGGGTACGTAGATCACACTCTCCCCTCTCGTTGCTATGCATCACCATGATCTTGCGTGTACGTAGGAATTTTTTTTTTGAAATTACTACGTTCCCCAAAAGTTATAATCATTCAACATGGACACAAAGTTTTATATCCCACCTCGTTATGTTTCGCTACAACAATGTAGAATTTCAAAAAAAACACTATCACGTGATCATCCTTCTCCCTAATCTCCCAACAACCGCCATGTCACCAGCCACCCCCTGCCCACTTTCTCCAAGCCGATCCATCCTCCTTCTCAAGCTCCCCATTGCTGACCACCTTCCCCTATGCCATGGTGCTTTAGGGCATCGCGTGCTCCTCCTCAAGTTCCCCGTTGTTGGCCACCTTCCTATTCTCCCACATGTTCCATGTCGTGACAAGCTCCTCCTTGAGCCCCGTCCCCCTCACCGTTTTACCGAGCCCACGGTCAACCACATTTTTTGTTTATATTCGTACATACTAGAAACACTATTTATTATTTTATAAAACAAGGTTGTGAAATTATTTGAGTTATGGTTATCAATTAATGGTTACTTAATTTGTGGTCTGGTAGTGGGATTAGTGGAGTGTTATGTTGTTTTTTCTGAAATTAGTGGAATTATTGAAAATTGTGTTGTTGAAACTTGTAAAATTAGTGAAATTGTTGAAATTTGTGTTGCGATTTTTTTTCAAAATTAGTGGAATTGTTGAAATTTGCTACTAAATTGTAAAATTATATAAATACCTGTTTTTGAAATTGTGAATTATTAAAAATTATGGAATTATTAAATTTGTGTTCTAAAAGTTTTAACCTTGTTGAAATGTTATTCAAATTTTATGTTAATGATTTTTTGAAATATGACTGAAAATACCGAAAAATATGTTTATGACTTTTTAAATCATTGAAATAGGTGTTCTGCAAACATTTAAATATTACTAAAAGTATTGAAATATTTTTACCTTTTTTAAGTGATTGAAATGTGTGTCTAGAAATTTTGCAGTAATTGGAATTTATGATTCTCAATTTTTTGAAAATTAGCAAAAATATTGTTCTATGTTTCTGAATTATTGAACTTTTAATAAATAATTTAAATTTGTTTCTATTTTTGAATAAAAATAATTTATATGGTTTCTTATTAAAATAATTTGTTGCTTTGTGGGCTTTTAAAAATAGTCACTGCAATAATATTTTGAAATACTCGCTGAAAATTAATTTTGATTTTGTAAAAATGTTTGTTTATTTTATTTTAAAAAATATCACCATATTATTTAGGTTTCAGGTATATCAAATGCTGAAAATCAAATGCATATAGGAAAGGAATATATTACAACATGCCTGCCATGTTTAGAATGTGGCAACCTCTTTAGGCGAGCGGAAGTCCGCTACCTGGCGACTCTGCTAGAAATATGTATTGGCGTCCAAGGAATGGTTATTAGGCCTTGTACAATGCAAGGTGGTTAGTAGATGTGCTTACAAAAATAAATCATTTTTTTCTTAAGCATCCGTGTCTATTCGTGAATGGTATACGCTTAATTAGATACCCTGCCTATAGAAATAAGCATCCATGCTTTAAAACATGGTTTATTTTCCTAACAATCCTTTAAGCACCTCGCATTGTACAAGCCCTTGTACGTTTGTCCCGACTGCGCCTGTTGCTAGGATGAGCAATGAAATGTTGGCTCAAGATTCAAGATTTTAATTGCTAACTATATACACTCAATACATGGTATCATCCACCGCCATCCAAGTACAATGTTTAGCTAAAACCCATTCTTGCGTATGATTTAGACAAAAGCCAATAATTGTGACGGTTGTGCTCGGACTATGCATGTACCGACTCGCTCATGAACTGGCCTCCAATTGTTTCACAAAAAATGAACTGGCCTCGCGCCGCCCATTTTTCTCCCGTTGTAGACGCGCACCGGCGGTTCATATATGTCTGTGCATTTGTTAATTGAGGCGGTTGTATCAGAGAGGAAGTTAGCACATGCATGTGTCGCACCAAAGTCTACGTAGCTGGCACATCTATAAATAGAGGGAACTCCGAGAACATTCCCATTCAACCAATCCTACATCACGTAAGGAAGAACAAGAACAAGCAGACAATCGCGAACCAACCACAGGTTACACAGGTTGGATGGTTAAAGGGATAGTGGTATCCTCAGTTCATCAGGGTTCAAGTTTTGGTGCTCGCATTATTTCTGGATTCATTTCAGGATTTTTGGCGATGCGCTTTCAGTGGGAGGAGACGTTCCCGTCGACGACGAGGCGCCTACAGTGACTTCGTAAATCTCAAGATAATATGCCGGCTCAGTCTGTACTGTGTTAAAAAGACAGAAGCTTCATTTACTTGCGTAGCTAGTCAAGGTCCATGGCGAGCGGGTCTTTCCTGCTCCCTCCGTCCCTACTGGTTCTCGCAGCTAGCTCGGAGATGGTGAAGATCATCTCCGCCGCGCCCAGCCTCGCCGGACCGTTCCTCTGGCTTCATTTCCACGACTGCTTTGTTAGGGTAAGCACATCTCTCCACACTCAGTGTTCCATTGATCATAATGGCTTTGTGCACTTACAGAAACATGTTACATGTCCATATACTAATGGTGTGCGTACGGGAATGCAACGCAAAATGCAGGGCTGTGACGCGTCTGTGCTGCTGGATTCCACCAAGGGCAACCTGGCAGAGAGGGACGCCAAGCCCAACAAGAGCCTGCGAGAATTCGGCTCCGTGGAGCGGGTGAAGGCCAGGCTCGAGGCCGCAGGCCCGGGCATCGTCTCCTGCGCCGACGTGCTCACACTCATGGCCCGCGACGCCGTCGTCCTGGCCAAGGGCCCCTCCTGGCCCGTGGCGCTCGGCAGGAGAGACGGCAGCGTGTCCAGTGCCACGGAGGCGAGCGACGTCCCTCTGCTCACCCGGATTTTCGCATCCAAGGGTCTCGGCCTCAAGGACCTCGTCGTCCTCTCCGGCGCCCACAGGCTCAGCACGGCGCACTCCCCGTCGTTCGCCGACCGGCTCTACAACACCACCGACAACGGCCTCGTCGACCCGTCGCCGGACAGCGAGTACGCGGCCAAGCTGAGGCTGAAGTGCAAGAGCGTCGACAACAAGAGCATGCTGTCGGAGATGGATCCCGGCAGCTACAAGACCTTCGACACCAGCTACTACCGCCACGTCACCAAGCGCAGGGGGCTCTTCCGCTCTGACGCCGCGCTGCTCACTGACGCCACCACCGAGGAACACGTCCGGCGCGTCGCTACAGGTAAATTCGACGACGCGTTCTTCAGGGATTTCAGCGAGTCCATGGTCAAGATGGGCAACGCCGGCGTGCTCACCAACGGCGACGAAGACATACGTTCTCAACTAGAGAAACTACCAGCGGATTAATTCCCTGGAACAAATGTTTGTTGACAAGTGAATCGATATATGAATCTTTAATCATAACACTTTCGCAGCACCAGATGGTGTTTGTTAGATTTGTCTATTGTTACTGCTCGTGTTCAGAAATAGAGAGTTAAACATTCTTAAATCAATGGAAATTTTATAAAATTCATGAACGTTTTGTAAAGTTTGTGAACAATGTTAAAAGTTCATGAATATCTTTCATATTCGTGAACAATTTTTAACTTTATGAACATTGTTTAAATTCGTGACATTATTTCCAATTTGTAAAATCATTAAAAGAAGAATCCGTTGTTTTTCCAAAATATTATAAGTGTTTTTATAGAAAAATCAAATGAAATAACAAAAATGGTTGAAAAATCGAGCAGAAAAATATTTGTCAGCACAATATGCAATTTAAAAATATTGGAAATTATTTTAATAGAAAAACGACCAAAACAAAATCTCTGAATACTTATCGAGAAAAACCTGCCAGCGCAAGCACATAGCGCTACAAGTGCGGCTGCCTATTGCACATTTTCTTGCTATCACGTGTGTTAACCCAGGACAGGAGCTCTCAGACTCGGGTATTACAGTCGATTCATTCAGTTCGGTTTTATATGTGTCAGGTTGCACTTTAATTATGCTGGGCATGGTGGTGTTTTTCTTAGTTGGCACCGTGTTGGCTTGTTGTTTTATGCAATATTTCTTTTTGAGAGGAAGGTAGAATTGTTCGGTGTTTGGCTATTGTTTTATTACACATTTTAATTTCTTTTTGAGAGGAAGGTAGAATTGCTCGGTGTTTGTCTACAGTTTAGTCTCGACAACGAGCAATGGTGATCACGTGAGCTCCTTTGTTCCCCACAGACCACAAGCAAACAACACAGTTGGCGCCTATTTGACGCCTTAATCACCCGTGCAAACACAGTTGGCGCCTATTCTTAATGGGCCAGCCCATTGAAGCGCTCGAGCGCACGAGAGGGAACACACCAAAGTGGAGCAGGTTGTCTCAAAAAAAAAAAAACCAAAGTGGAGCAGGTGTAATTATAGTAAACATCACCAATGATACAAGTAGTGGACAGTAAAAATATACTTTCATAAACATGTCCGTACTTTTTCAACGTAATAATACAATGGTCAAAATATAAATTTTCCAATAACCATGCACATTTTGACCTTATTCATTATGTATTCATATACTACCTCCGTTTAGTTGAATTTCTTTATGAAGCTGATTATGAGCGCACTAATTTCCTCTGGCTTTTCTTCATTTATGAAATGCCCGACATCTTTCATTATCACCACGCCATCAAGTAATGGAACAAACTTCTTGAAGCCACCTTTGTTAATGAAATCTTTTGCGCCCGCAATATTGTATGTTAGATCTAAGTCGCCAACTATGAACTTCGTTGGTACCATTATCTCAGCTCCCGTCCATGGCGAAGTTAACTCCCATGTCCTAAACATAGAACAAATATTCTTATTAGACAAGAAAATTGTGGGGTGCAGTCCAGTTACCCTAGAAAAACTTTTCTTCCATTATTTCTTTGAGAGATCTATGGTAATTACATTTCTACGATTAGATTGTGGATGATGTACACCATTAGTTTATAAGACAACTTCACGTGGCATGATGGAGGACAAAATATAAAAATATAAAAGTTTTGGGAAAGTAAATGATAAAATGAATATGGCATTATTGTGGACAAATGTGAAAAAATAAAAAAGTTTTATATATTACGAGTAATAATATATTACAGGTTTTGAAGCATCATAGCAAGGTGAACTTGCTCCTGAGACATATTTTACAAATTCATGGTAAATATTTCTTGGAACTCCATTAAATTTGGGGAAACCATTTCTCACTCATTCAGTTAATTCTAAATGGAGTAAGTAGTGTTTCCAAAATCTGAAGCTATGTATTATATATTTTGTAATAATATTGGTCATATCTAAAATACAGGTTAGTATTTGGACCTAAACATATATAGCATATTGCAAAAATTGTAGATATATTTTCTTTGAATCAAAATCTAGTCTTTTTTCTCCAGAAAATTCTTATAACTATAAAACATATCATTCTAGAAATTATTTTATTACAATTTGAATCAAATTTTAGGTTTGGGTCTTCATGTTTAACTTACGCTAATAGTTAAGCACACTTATCCATAAGGTAAAAAAAAAGCTCAAGATGAAAATAGTCCAAAGTAAGCAGCTTAGTTACTTATTCAGGGCACGGTAGTAGTTGAATCCTCCGGTGAAACCAGACTTGTCAAACTGGGTCGTGTAGTACTTGACGTCCTCATCTGTGATCCAGCTCGGCAAGGGCACCTCATCATCTGGTGAGCCCCACCCGCTCTTCGGGATGAACAGTGGGCTAGCACTTCGATCAGCGAAAAACTTTCTTAGCACCAACTCTGTACCGAGGCGTTTGAATTCTGCTTCAATTGCCCCAGGACAAATTAGCACCATATTGGTCATGTTGACTTGGCGTGCAACTCCAGACACAATGTATGAATTGAAAAGGCAATGGCTGATCAAGAGTTTTGCTTTGCATGGTAGTATCTACTAGTACGTACCTGGAAGCTGCAGATGTAGAAGTCGTCGCCGTAGAGAGCCCTGACGGCGTCGACGGGCTTCACCGCGGGGCTCCGAGGGGTGAAGGGGACGCTCAAGGCGACCAGAGCCTTCACCCGGTCAGGCCGAAACTGGCACAGGCTCCAGGCTGTTATGGCGCCCCAGTCATGCGCCACCACGAAGACCTGCTCCTGGCCGAGGGAGTCGATGAGCGCAACAAGGTCGCCGACGATATGCAGCGCGGTGTACTGGTCCGGGCCGGCGGAGGGCGCCTCGGAGTCGCCGTAGCCAGGCATGTCGGGGGCGACTGCGCGGTAACCGGCCGCGGCCAGCGCGGGCATCTGGTGCCGCCAGGTGTACCACAGCTCCGGGAAGCCGTGCAGCAGCAGCACCACGGGCGCGCCCGCCGGGCCGGCCTCCGCGACGTGCAGGCGCACGCCGTTGACCTCGACGCTGCGGTGCGTGATGACGCCGTCGGAAGCCATCTCTTGGTGACGAACTGGCGATGGGAGTAAGCAGGAGCAGCAGCAGGCTTAGAGCTCTTTGAGGTTGATGGTGGATGTGGCTGGACTCGACGGGCCGGAACACACTATTATAAGGAGTGTGGGTGGATCGCAGGGGTTGCGTGTTCTGCAGGCGCATGCATGGTTACCGCTGCACGAGTATTGCACGACATCTCCATCTTCTTTTTTCTTTTTTTCCTTTTTCTTGCGAGTACG